AAATCAGTCCTCCCAAATTGAAAGACCCAATCCAAAACTGGGCATCTGAGATGAATAGACACTTCACAGATGAAGAAATACAAATGTGAAGAAAATATATGAAAAAATGTTCAATGTCATTGGTCATTCAAGAAATACAAATTAAAATAACACTAAGATTCCACCTCACTCCAGAAAGAAGGTGTATCATTAAGAAAACAACCAATAACAAATGCTGGTGGAGCTGTGGGGAAAAAAGAACCTTTCTCCATTGTTGGTGGGAGTGTAGACTGGTGTAACCACTGTGGAAATCAGTGTGGAGATTCCTCAAAAAAATAGAAACATTGTACTGTCTCCCTTGTGTAAGAAACTGAAAGATTAAATAAAGGTATTGTGAAATGGAGTGAAACTGCTCAAAAGGAAAGAACAATTGGGATGGGAAAAAAGAGAAAAGAAGGAAGGAAAAAAATATATATGTACACACACACACACAAGATAGCTAAGATAATTGTACCATTGATCCTCTTAATTCAGGGAAACAAACTATTATTGCTTACATTGTTTGATCTGTTTTGCATGCCCGTTTCTTATAATCTGAGCAACTGTTTTGAAGATAATAATATGCAATATAGTGACCATTGTTAATTTCCTATCTGCTTGTTTTGAAATCCTGTGTTATTTCTTCTGATTTGTTTTTAGTTTTGTTTTCTTTAAATCTCTTTAAAATTAAAAAAATAATTTTAAAAAGAAGCGAGACACAAATTTTTAAAAAGAAGCCAGACTTATTATTTGAACCTATTTATACGTCTTGCTAGTAGTGTAGGCAAATCTGAACCAACAAAAAATAGATTAGTGGTTTTCAGCGGCCCCAGGACCACAAAGGGAATGAGGAATGCCTGCTGTCAGGTATTGGATTTTTTGGGGGGGAGAGGAGACAATAGAGGAGTTAAATATGGTGCTCGTTGTGTAAGACTGTGAATACAGAAAAAAAAATCCACTGAATTGTATACTTTAAAATGGCAAATTTTGTGCTAGGTGAATTTTTCTGAATATTGAATTACAAAAAATATAATTGTATATCCCTTAAAATTTACAAAGCAGCCAAGTGTGGTGGTGCATGCCTATAATGCCAGCACTTGAAAGGCTGTACAGAAAGGCCATTGTGAGTATGAGACCATCAGGAGCTACATAGCAAGTTCAAGACCAGCCTCAAGTATATACCAAGACCTTTTCTCAAAAAAACAAAGAAAGACTACAAGACATTATGTATGAGATAATTTATTTAAGGCAACAGCCGACATATAGTAATGGGTTCATTTTTGATAACTAGTATATTATTCATAATTGCAAGGTACATGAAGAATAAAAACAATTTCATGTTACATCTATTTGAGTTAGTGAGTTTGAGGATGAACTTGTGTTTCTGTTTTTGTTTTATGAGATAGGGTCTTGCCGCGCAGTTCAGGCTGGCCTTGAACTCACTAGATAGCCCAGGTTGGCCTTGAACTCATGGTGCCCTCCTCTGTCAGCCTCCGGAGTACAGGGGTTACAGATGTGTGTCACTGTGCCCAGCATGTGGATGAATTTTATAATCATTTTTATTTTCAATTGAGCTGTAACCAATATTGCTAGTATAGTACATACTTTTCTAAGGATTAAAAAATATACCAAAAAAAAGCATTATAGACTGAGGCATCTGGGTTTTGAGCCAAAATTCCTGTGAAGAGTTTGCATCCCTGGAGCTCCTTAGATCTTTAGCGAAGAAGAAAAGGATGAGGAAGGGATACAGATATATTTCAGTGCAAGGACAGGCCAGAGAAATCATCCCTGCCATTTATCCAGTGTCTGCACACTGTCGTAAGTTATCATGAGTGGCTCCAGAAAGGCAAAAGGCCACATGTTAATTAGTGCCTAGCACGATGGCATGCTTGATAACTATTTAAAGGGTTAATTATAAATATTTTCCTTTGTCAATAATTCTTAAGCCAAAGTTAATTTGTGCACTGGAGAACTATTGAAAACACACACACACACACAAATCTCTTTTCTGCAAATCCCTCCAAACAAGAACAATGCCTTTTTTATAAGTCTGAGCCAAATACAATTCAACTGTCATTCCCAGGCTAATCTCAGAGCTGCAAGAAGTGTAAGGCCCGAGAGCCAGGCTGGTTAGGACCTAGCAGGGGGAGGAAGAGATAGGTTCATGTGATGATGCGTACTTTTTTTTTCTGCATAAGATTGTTCAATATCGCATCCCACACATTAATAATTTTAAAACTTAGAAATAAAAACTAAATCACCCCGAAACCTCTGAGACAGACTGAGAGACTGGCAGATGTTTCTCCAGACAACTTGGGCACAAAGAGCAGCCATTCTGTTCATTTTCTTTTTTTAATTTGCGTCTTTGAACCACAGAATCCCTGGCTGAGGTTTTGATTGCTTTCTTCCCATGTTTTTTTCTTTGTTACTGACATATTTGTAGTCAGCATAAAAGCTAGAGAAAGCATGGACAGTTTTCTTGAGATTCCGTGATCCCTTTTAAAGCTGAAGAAAACAAGGTTCCAAGTGGATCACAGAACCACAGGCATTTGAAGGGACCATTGAAGGCAGCTCATCTAATCCTTGCTCAGTTTGATGAGGGAGTTAAATTTAGGTTCTAATCTAGGTTTCACACCTCTCAGGTGACAGAACCAGAATTTGAGCCTGCTCACCTAACACCAGTATTCTTCCCGCATTCTCTTTTTATCTGGTTGGTATCATTTTGCCAGTGGTGATGGTGCGAAGCCCCCAAATGGCATGCTGAGTCCCTTACTGAAGCTGCAATTGTCCAGGTAACTACTTTACCTTCGGGGACTATTTGTTGAGTCTGTCTCAGCCTCCATAGAACCCCACCATTGAGGGAGGTTGTGGTAACCTTCACTTTCTGTCATTCTGGGAGTGGCCCAACCAAGTGGACTGGTGGTGTGCCTCCCAGCCCCATGCCCACACACAGTAGGGAATTATTCCTAGCAACCTTTTCTCTACACACTTTAGTCCAGCTCTGTGAATGGTTAGGGAAGGTTTGTGTCCTGTGAGTTCCCTCATCTTGGGACCTGGAAAATCATCCGGTGGTTTTCCTTGTCCTGATTGCAATGTTTCTAAACTTAGCTGAGACCAAGATAAAACACACCCATTTACAAGGCATAACTCTGGGCAGCCAGAGGTTTCAGGGTGACATCTTCCCAACTGCTTTTCCAGCACTTGGTTGGCATTTCTACTCTTATTTGCAGTGAAATAAAGAAACACAGCAGTGTAGTTTGTGGTACTCTACTTTGAGAACAAACCTAATAGAAAGTTTTAATTGCCAAACACAATAACCTACAGTATTCATCGGGCATGTCACCTGGGATTGCTTACAGACCACTCCGAGTGGCGACTCTTTTGTTTCTGCTGTAAAACCTCACATGTGGCTAAGGGTTGAAAATAGCAAGAATATGTACACTCATTTTGGTGGAGTTAATTAGAGGCACATTCATTATTGTCAGCATAAACCCTAAAGTTGGGCACGTAGGGTTGCCATAACTTAGCAGAGTGCTTTTGTGGCTGGTGTTTGAGCGCTGGCACATTTTTATTTTTACACACTCAGATTTGCCATACAATCCGAAAAGTTACTTGAAGCAAACTAAGCAGTATGAAAATGATAATATGAGAATGATTGTTTTTTTAAAGCATTGACGTTTACAGATGTTCCTGTGACATTACACAGCTGAACATAGGCAATTATAAGGCAGAAATGAATGCATCCTGCCTTCTAAAGTCACTCAAAATATTTTGAATCCTTGGTGAGTCTCAAATACTAAGTTTTAGTAAATAAACTAAATTGGATTGACAGTAGAGTTGTTTTGTTTGTGTTAGCCACAATTTGGGAAATGTTTATGACCAGGAGTGCAGTCAGCAACATATATATGTATATATATATATATATATATATATATATATATATATATATAAAATAAAGAGATCAAAGTAAAAGACCATATGGGAAAATAAAAGCTAAAGATAAGTCTGTTACATAAGTCAAGTGAGGCCATCTATTTGTTCTTCTAGTGGGCAACGGAGGGATACCTGACTTTAGATGAATATTCTACTTTTGGTTATAATTCACATTTCTTTTCATTGCCCTGTGGTATTTAACTGTTTCCAAACAATGCTAGATTTTCACAAATTATTTGTGAGTTTGCATATTCAGTAATACCCGCCTTGAATCTTCCACCACTTAATCATTTTTACTTCCAATTAGCATGTTACTCATCAGAGGCTGGTGAAGGAAAAATATGAGTGAGTCCTCTCAATCCTTATTTCCTGGTTTTGTTTTTTTAAAGTGTGTTATGGGGAAGGAAAGGTCCCAACTGGATTTTATTAGAACTGTCTGGAATGAGGTAAAGAGGAATTATGAATTCTTTATGAGTTTTAATTATGAAAGTTATCATTAAATTATGTTCTTCACACAACTGTAGGATTTAATATAGTAATCTTTTAAGGCACGATTTCAGAGAAAATGTGAACATATACCTATAATCACATAATTATAAGCTACTATGTACAAGGAACATAAGATCAGAAACTTCATAAAAAGCCTCTTGATCAAGTAAACTTGAGCCTGTCATTACCTGGAAATAACTGGAAAGAATGCAAAGCATTTGAGACTAGTTGCTCAGTAATTTGGTATATCAAAATAAAGTAGCTATAGTCAATTGCCTGAGATAATGAATATTTTCCCACAGTATTCTTTGATGTTTTTGTCATTACAATAATTATATATAGGGAAGAAATGAAAACAGAAGCTTTCAAGTGAATAATACTTTTTTAACAGATTTACTGATTAATGTGTAACCTTTAAATTGTAGTGGTTAAGTCTAAATTTTACTGACTCATGGAGATGATCTAAACTTTTTCTTGGCATTGAAATATACCAGTTTTTTTATATTTTTGCATCAAAATATATAGAGAAAGCCTCAACAGTGTTTCTCTGTTTTCCTTAGGCATCGTCATAGGAATCTTGGTTCGAGAATTCAGCCAGCTCTCAAATCTAGACAAATTTTACTTTGCTTTTCCTGGAGAAATTCTAATGAGGATGCTGAAACTCATCATTTTGCCATTAATTGTATCCAGCATGATTACAGGTACTTTGATATTCTGTATATTATTTAAGAGTCCAGAAGAGTCTATATTATTCTTTTCTAATTATGGGGAAAATTGAAATGCATTAAATGCATCACACTACAAACACACTACACCACCCACTTGAAATGTGTATGTTTGGTTGGGGGGAAAGATTTCATTATTGCTTCATTGTCCTGATGTTTTTCTAGCACCATCTACCAGAGTTCAAGTCTTCATTTGTGCAACATATGTTGTCTTGTGAGTGAAATACCATTTTCAAATACTTTAGAAATAAAAGCTCTATCTAGGACAGAGAAAGGAGAACAGGCCTATTTGGTCACTGAAATGTCATCTAGAGTCCTCAGGAAAAAATGCGGTTGTCAATTTTGATCATGTTTTCAGTAGTTCATAAATTTATTTCCTAATTCTAGCTGTCCTTCCCACTAAGCATTTGGCAGTTGCCTGCAGGGTCCCTTTACCTCTGGCTCTCACCCACTTCCACTCCTCCACAGATCTCCAGACTGGCTACATACCTGTCTTGAAAATTTGCCACAGGGCCAGAGGCCAACTGCTATGGGAAAGGTTTAATTAGGTATTTGGACCATATTTTAAAAGGCTAGTATTTTTAAATATGAACTTGTGCCACAGTTAAATTTGAAAATGATTTTTCTCTTGTTGCTATATTTCAAGAGTCCTTCAAAGAGCAAGTTCCCCAAGAGATTAATTCGGTTTGTAAAAATGTCATTTATCTGGGTATGTTATGCTGCTGTGTGCACCCCATTGTTTCTTGTACATAGCTTAACTCTGGCAGTTGGTAAAATGTGGCTTGCTATTAGTCATCAGCTTGAAAGTCAAAGTTTTATATAACCATGCAATTAGACTTGCTTACAAGCCATCTTCTAGAATGCTTTTCTGCATTATTTCTGAAAAAGCCTGATCTTTATCAGGTCCTAGTCATTGGCTGGGTGTCTAGATCTGCTGAAGTCTGTAACTGCATGGTTTCAAAAAAGCTGTCGTATTTGACCATTGGCCTTCCCAAATGCCAAACTACAGCCAGACCCGAGTCCTGTTGGAGTTCTATTGTTGTTGTTGCTGCTGCTGCTGCTGCTGCTGTTTCTAGTAGTACAGAAAAAATTAAACCCAGGATTTCATGCATGCTAGATAAGTGCTCTGCCACTAACCTCTACCTCCATCCTAGAGACTATTTTTAAATAGTCTTAAAAATAAATAAATAAACAATCTTGGTGTTCTTGGCTTATTAGAAACCTAAAGCGAGCAATTAATTGTTTTTCTGTATTCGACTAAGTTTTGAAATGCCTGGCTTCTTTGAAGCCTAGCAGGCTGAGGGGCGAAGCATTAGACTCGCTGTTTGTACCACGTGTTTATTTGTTTAGCTTCACGTTATCTTAAGCATTTAAAATTTGGAAGATTTCTAGATTTCTCTGAAAAGAAGTCCGATGTGGAAGTGCTGGACCCATGTTCCCATATGTTGCTTCAGTGAGCTGCAGCCTAGAGACAGCTGCTCTCTTTAGTTGGAATAAATGCGTTTGAGGATGCCTCAGCTCCCCCCACTCCCTCTTCACTAACACTTTGGGCCCCAGTGTACATTGCAGTTATAATCCCCTAAATTCTTTTCTATATCAAAGATCCTTAATCTTTGTTTAGACTCCTTTAGAATAAGATGAAAGTTTTGAAATCTCTCCCTCCAAAATAGTCACAATTTTACATATAGAAAGTAATTTGTGTGCAACTGTACAAGGTCTTAAGTCCCATGATAAGTGACACTATTTAATTCTTGTGTCTATGAGGAAAGTACAGAAGATGAGTCCAAAGTAGGCAGCAAACCCAAAACTCAGGTACTAAGCCAAGTTTTAGAATAAAGGGCAAAAAACCACACGCTTGAAAATACTAGTTTATATTGTGTGTTTGAAAATATGCAGGATTCTTAGCAGTTGGAAACTAGTGACATATTTGCAGGCTAGGTGTTTTATGTGTAACTCAGCCTTCCAGATAATCTAGGGGAATAATTTACAACTCTCAGCATTCCACTGACCTATCTCAGCTGCTTTTCCAAGCTGTCACCCAGGTCCAGTAATCTCTACACCTTTCCTTCACCGAATCCCAGTGGCTAATTAGGAGGCAGAGAGAGCAAAACTACTACTGGTTCTCTTGATATGGAGCAGTAAAATGGTCAGAGATCCTAGGGACGTGAACAAAAAGCAGAGAGGACAATGATGCTGTATTTATGTTTAAAATTGTCAGCTTAAAAGGAAAAAGTGACCGTGCTAGCATTGGCAGGCATGTGGGAAAAGGTTTATTCATACATTTTCAGTTACCTTATGAACTGGAACAGACTTTGGGGAAGGCACTTTAGAATATGTTCTGATATTTCCACCTAGAATTTGTACTTCACATTCATCACAAATAAATACTCAGAGGTATATGCAAAGATTTGGGCACAGGGATCTTCATAGTAGCATTTTGGAGTGATGATAAATTATGAGTAATCTGAATGTATGGCATACCCATAAGTTATGGTGCTGTGTGACTTACTAAAAACTTTGTTTGGATACATATTCAATGCCACGTAGAAATCTTTTTAATATGACACAAAAGGGAAATATAAAACAAATTACACAACAAGATGTTTTGTACAATCCAGATTTTATTCAAATGTGTGTATATTTTAAAAGTTGGGTCAAAACCAAAAGATTAACAAGGGTTCATTCCAGATAAAAGAAAAAAGATTTGTTGTGTGTTCTTTGCATGTTTAAAATAAATACAGTTATTTTTGTTACTCCTCTGTCTTTTTTTTTCTTTCTTTTAAGAAATAGAGCAGAAGGTGGGATAGACACGTCCCTGTGTTCCTCAGATTCTCCCTGTGGTAGTTTTCCTGCTCTCCTCCTACCTCTGCTCCTTGTCCCTGTCTGCTCAGGGCCACCTTTACCCCGGAATGTGGGTTGTTTGCCAAGCCCTGCGTAAGATAATTATGGAAAATACACAGGAAGGGCAGTTTTCACATTGCAAAACCTTCATAAATCTAGCAGGTCAATAGCCTAATTGATACATTTATTAGACCAAAAGAAGTATGTGGGAAGTGGGGAAGGGTACAAGGAGTCCCCTAGGAGTATGTAAATTAGAGACTCGGACTGCCAAAGTGAGAGTCAAAAGTCATAATCCATACTCCCACACAGCTATTGCAAAATTAACAGGTAGAAAAAAATCTGCCATCTGGGATTTAGCTCAGCAGCATAAGCGCCTGCCTGACAAGCATGAGGTAGTGAGCTCGATCCTCAGTACCAAAAAAATAAAATAAAATCTGCCACCAAAGTCTCCTAACATTAAAATGCTTACTTTACTGCTATTTTTTAAACAGGAAGAATTCCATTTAATATGATGAAGAGGTTAAGATGTGCATGTTACACATATGTTGTGTGGCACACCTTTAATCCCAGCTACTCTGTACGCTGAGGCAAGAGGATTGCAAGTTCAAGGCCAGCATGGACAATTTAATAAGACCCTGGCTCAAAAAAAGAGAGAGCAGAGAAGAGAGGAGAGGAGGGGAAGGGAGGAAAGAAAAGAAAAAACAAAGGACTGAGGATGTGGCTCAGTGGTACTTGTCTAGTTTGTATGAGGTACGTGCTGATTTCTTTCCCCAAAACATACATACACACACACACACACACACACACACACACACACACACACACACAAGTACATGTTAATCAGGGACATTTGAATATAGACTAGATATTAGATGATATCAAGAGATTATTGATCATTTTGTTAGAAATGACAGTGGTATATAGTTATGTAAGAAAATGTTCTTGTTTTTAATGCACATGGAATTATGTAGAGATAAAACAGCATAATGTTACAAATTTGCTTAGAAAAACAGGGAAGAGAGAGAGAGAATGACAGCACAGTAGATACAATCTCAAGATATTTTCGAAGAAGACAGTGCAGCATTAACAGAAAGAGTCCTCTCCGTGGTTTATGTCCTGAAGAAAGAGCACCGAAGATCGGTGCCCTCAGGCCCTTTTACCATTTAGGTTTCTGAACTGTACTTATGTAAGGAAATGAGTGTGGGCATGACTGAGAATTGTGGCCCTGGAAAAGTCCTAGTCCAGGTCTCTGTAGCCAGTAGATTTGAATTCAGGCCCATTTTTTAGAACTGCAGTTCTGATGGCTGGAGCCTCTCCTATGACCAGCCCAGAAACAAAGCCCCTACAGCCCCACACAGATTCCCCTAAGTAATCATCCTTCCTGGATACTCTTTGCCATCCTCACAAAGAAGTCTTAGCTTTTCCACTCCAGCTCTTTGCCATGGCCTGTTCTCCACTGGCACGCCTGCATCCTCTCTGTACGTGCTGCTGCAACTGTTCTCCCTTTGTTCCTTCAGCCTAAAAGAGATGCAGGAGTTTAATTCTCTATGGCATGAGTGAGACCAGACTGCTACCTCAGACAGAGCTTTATTAAATGTTTGGAGGCAACTCAAAGCAGAAAAAAATCACCAGTGGTGACATACAGCTGTTCCTGGAAGGGGAGCTTCCAAAGGCCCCAGTAGTTAGAAGGACTGTGCCTTTGCTTAGCTGCCAGTTTGCCTCCAAGAGGCTGGGACAGTTTATGGCTCCATGTGGAGATACTCTAAGCACCACCACACTCCAGCACCTGACACCATGTTCTAAGAAGGAACAGTTCTCTAACCACACTGAGCCAGGTGGGACCTCTTCCTGTGATCTTTCCACGATAGAATTTCATCTTCGGAGAAAATCTCCTTTGCAGCCAAGGGCAGATGGTCTGGCCTTGTGGGCTCTGTCAGGGGATTGAACTGGTACCCTAGTCCCTGCTAGGTTATTGCCTATCTACCCAGTCTGTAGAATTTGAAGTTTATTCAGGTCAGACTGGGCCAAGTCCATTTTGGTTCCTGTGTACTTTTCATTCTCTAAAGAGGAAGCTCATTCCTAACTACCCCTTTGATATCTGTACTTTGAATTTCCTGCCGATACCTGCTCAAGCA